GTGAGAGCTGGTCACTGATTGCCTGAAATGCTTGAAAGCCAGAAAAATGGCTCTGAGCTCTAGCCAATTTATGGGAAGGATCTGCTCTGACCTGGACCAAATGCCCTGAGCTATCTGGCCCTGCATATGGGAACCCCAACCCAGGAGGCTGGCATCGGTGGATATCACTAGCCTGTCTGGGTCCCTGAACAGAAGTCCCTTCCAGATTGATGGGGAACGCCACCAATTGAGAGATCGCAGGATCTGTGGCGGGAGTGGGACCTTGATGGATGAGTGGCTGGTTCCTGCTTATTGGTAGGGAAGCAGGAACCATTGGAGCGGTCAGGAGTAGAGACGAGCCCATGGGACGATGCTAATACAGGAGACCATCTTCCCCAGAATTTGGACAGCAGCAACAGGGGGACAGTTTGATGTTGCTGGATCTGGCTGATGATCTCTGCAAGGCTCTTTCCACGAGCTGGGGACAGGAAAACCTGGCACGTCGTGGTATCGATGGCTGCTCCCAAGTGTTGCAATTTGGTTGTGGGAGAGAGATGGCTCTTTTTGGTGTTGATGGAAAACCCGTGACTCTGGAGATATGAAAGGGTAATTTGCAGATCCCGATGGGCCGCATGGATGGAGGAGGACAGAATCAAAATGTCATCCAAGTAGCATTGGATCCTCACTGGAACAGAACGCAGAGATGCCATCAATGCTGCCAGAACCTTTGTGAAGACCCTTGGAGCTGATGAGAGGCCGAAGGGAAGTTCTTGATACTGGTAATGGGTATTCTGATAACAGAAATGGAGAAACTGGTGATGATGAAGCCAAATGGGAATGTGGAGGTAAGCCTTTGCGAGATCAATGGAAGAGAGGAGGTCTCCCTTCCGAACGCTGTCTAAAATAGAATGCAGAGTCAGCATTTTAAATCACCTGTATTTTACAAATTGGTTGAGGAATTTTAGATCAAGGATGGCTCGCCACCCCTCTCCGAGGCTTTGGGAACGATGAAAAGGCGAGAGTAAAACCCACGTCCCCGTTGAGAGGGGGGAAAAGGTTAGCCCTGATTTCAAGAAAGTGTTGAATTGCCTGATTCATGAGGGCTTGCCTTGAAATGTCCCGAAAGACAGGACAGATCAAAAAATTTTCTGGGAGTGGCGTTAGGAAGTCCAATTGTAACCCTGACCTAATAGTGCTGAGCAGCCAGGTGTCCGCCGTTGACTCCTCCCATTTGGAGGCAAAGAAGGTTAGGTGACCTCCGATGGGTGGGCAGAACGAGGGATAACTTAGAGTGACGGAAAGAACAACTCCCTCCCCCCGAAAGAGCTGTTTACCAGCAGAAGGTTGTTTCCTGCCAGATGATTCTGCACGTTGGTCTTGGCGTTGGGAGTATGGCCTTTGAGAGTGAGGGAAGCGGGAGGAGGTCTCTGCTTGAAAAGCAGGAGGACGATAAGGAGCTGGGTGATAGTCGGCTTTCTTCCTAGAGGAAGAGAGATTTGTATGTTTATCTCTGGTTTCGATGAGATAAGGTTCCAGAGAATCGCCAAAAAGTTTATCGCCTGCAAAGGGAACTGAAGCCAACTTCCATTTTCGACGTGACTCTGCCTGCCAATTTCGGAGCCATAAAAGTCTTCTTGCTTCTACTGAAGATGCCATGGCCCTAGATGCAAATTTGGCAGAATTGAGAGTGGCATCCGCAGTGAATTCCGCCGCTGCGATAATTTTGTTAAGGTCTTGGTGAGACCGAAGGTCAGAAGCAGGCAATCTATTCTGGAGTTGGCACAGCCATTGTATGGATGCCCTCATGAAAAAAGATGCTGCTGTTGAAGCCTGAACAGCCCATGCAGTGGCCTGGTGATTGCGCTTCAGGGTCTGTTCGGAACGTTTGTCATCCGGTTTCAGGATATCTTCTGGCTCAGTGGGAGTGCCAGAAGATGAGAATGAGGCCAAACTGGGACGTCAACAGCAAGCACTGCCAGGGCATTGTCCAGGGCTGCACTGGTGTTGTAGAAACGCTTATCCAGAGAAGATGGGCGAGGACCTGCCAAAGGGGAAGCGCACTGTTTCTTGACCATGTCCAGGAACAACGTGGGAGAAAGCAAAACTTCTGCATGCACTACAGGCTTGGAGAAGAGCGAATCTCCTTGGCCAGAGGGCTCTCCTTGTGGCTCAGGAGCCACTTCCTCCAGCGACAGCTTGGCAGTGACCAAGGCCTTGCTGAGTAATGGCCTGAAGAGAGTAGGTTTGAAGACCAATGCAGAGGATGTCTGCTCTGGGCAAGAATCTTCTTCCTCTGAAATATTTTGGTCATAAATCTCTTCATGCTCTGAACGAGAGGAGTAACTGTGTTCAGATGGTGAAGCCCCTCCTTCCTCATCAACCTCCTCCCATTCTGGTAGTGAAGAATGGATCCTGAGGTCCTGGGGCCTGTGAAATTCAGGGTGAGGAGGCAAGGAACTTATAGATTGAGAAGGGCTTGAACCCTTTCCAGAGGTCGAAGAATTTGCTTGATGCCTTCAGCCAATTCCTGCCTAATGGCCAATGAGACAACATCTTGGATATCCCCTGGTCTATGCTCAAAGGTAGAGGCAGAAGGCTGAAGGCCCGCTGCTGTGGGAGTGAAGGTGGCTTCAGGCCTAGATTGAGAAGAGGGTCTAGGTCTGGAGGAAGCGGGGGCATAGGGCCCAGAAGCCTGATGGAAATAGGGCCCAGATCTGCTGAGATCCTGAGGAACTGATTGTTCTGCAAAGGCCCCAGGAGACCAGGATGGAGGATGAAAAGGCTCATATATAACTTCTCCTTCCTCTGGGAGGGCTTGGCTGGGGCCCATGGGTATCACCTGAAACTTGTTGCAGTTGCCATCTCATCTGTTGAACTGCCTCTCTAGGGCCGCATGCCTGCACTTCTCTGCTCTCAACTCAGCCTGAGTTGCCTTCTTAGGGGCTAGAGCCTTACCTCTGATTTTAGCAGCCACCTCCCTCTGGACTGATTGGGAGCGGTGCCTACGTCTTTTTCTCTTATTGGGCTTAAGAGACTGATCCACTGGGGGGGAAAGCTCTGCTTGAGCCTTATCCTGATCCATTTGTAGAAGGAAAGCTCTTGCATTGGGAAGAAGCTGATTAGAAATTTAGAATAAGTCCTTTAGGGTATAAAATGACGCCGGGCTTACAAAATGGCCGCTCACCTCGTGGTGGAAGGCTTCAATCCAACATGGCCACTGACTAGGAAACCAGCCTCCGAGACCAAAGAATCGCTCCTTAGGCTAAAAAGAGCCCTGAGCGAAGTCAGCAGAAGAAAGCACAGCCACTGGCCACACAATCAGCTGGCTGGTGCTGTTATCGGTTTGCTGATCGTTTTTACAATCGCTCAAACCACAGGCATGAGGGAGGTCTCAAGATGCTGCCCAGCTTGCTTGCACAGCACTCTGGCAGCATTGCTCCCAACGTTGCAGGAGAGGGAGCCCTGCTCTGCTGGAGGAGCAGCTGCCCAGATCCCTGGGAGCTGCTGAAGCGACGAAAAAGGTCTTGAAATTTGTACTTTATTGCTATCTATCGGAATGCTTTCAGAGACACAGCTACTGACTGAAAGAAGCTGAATCAAAAGCTGGGGTCTCTTCCGGGGGCTGGCTTTTATATCTTAGTACAGACTTAGCTAAATGACATCATAGGAAGGAGTCAACCGTCCTGGGCTCTCGATGCAGCATGGAGAACTGGTCCGAGCCTGCTGAATACCACCTCTGGCTCCTGCCCTGTGGAATATTCTCTCTCAGGAGGGGAGGTGGGCCCTGACTCTCCTGGCCTTTTGAAAAGGAGTTAAAACATGGCTCTGTTACCTTTGGGAAGCCCAAAAGAGTAAGCAATTGTGGGGCTGGTTTGGTTCCATGAGAGTTCCCCCTCCACCATTGTTAATTAATTCTAACAAGGTTTTATTATTCTTGCCTCCTTTTAAAATTTTAGTTGTAATATTTTAATTTTATATACTGTTTTTATATTTTGATGTTTTAATGTACACTGCCCAGAGTTCCTTTTTGAGGGAGATAGGAGGTTCAGAAATATGAAAAATAAACATTTTAATTGAATTCTGTGTGTGATTATTGCTTTACTATTTTTGTCTATAGTTTTTCATATTTAGAGATCTGAGTTGCTGACCTTTCCATGCACAAGATTGCATAGCTGCATAACTGCCCTTTGTATTTCATAACAAGCACAATTCTTGACTTTGACCCAGACAAAACAAAACATTTTCTTTCTAATATTCTGGAAACTTTAAGAACCGCCAGCTGCATTGGCCAGGATGTATCAGCAGATTCAGGCTGATTGGTGGCAATTTACCACAATTAATATTTATTGGTGAGCCCTTGGAAGAAGTGTGTTGTGGAGTTTCATATGATCCCAGCTCTCGATTTGCAAACAGAATAATAGCCAAGTTATGTAAAAATGTGCTACACCAAAAATGCCAAACTGAGACACTGTTATGCAGCGTAAAGATCAAGGGTGGGATTCTACCAGTTCACACCTATTCGCTAGAAATGGTTGTTAATATTCTAAGCAGTTCGGAGAACTGATTGTTAGAAGAAATTACTGACCTAATCCTGTAAGGAAGGCAGGAAGGAAACATTCTGATGTTGCTTACAGAAACTGCCTTATTACATTCTTGGCAGGACTAGACTTCCTGTCTCAGGAACTTCTCTGGAGTTTTTTTTTCCTCCTTTACTGGTACTTTGCTTGTGTGGAGTGACCATTCAAAGTTACAATGGCACTGAAAAAAGTGACTTATGACCATTTTCACACTTACGACTGTTGGAGCATCCCCACAGTCGTGAGAGGCCTGGCGAGGAGATGCGTGCCTTGATGTGAGTGAAGTTGAGTTGGCCAGGCCCAGCCAGTTACATGACCACCAAGCCACACCCACCAACTAAGCCACGCCCACAGAACTGGTGTTAAAATGTTTGAATCCCACCCCAGTAAAGATATATTAGCGAAGTAATTTGGGAACAACAAAACATCTTTTATGTTACTTACCTGCACACTTAAAACTCTGAGCAGTCAGGCCTCTTTCCAAGGACAAGGTAGTTAAAATGCTCAGAAAACTGGTGGTGACAGACTGGCGCTTGATTTTCCTATGTTCTTTTTCACAAGATAAGCCTTGAACTTTGTTTCTCAGTGTCACCTGCAGGTTTTGCCCTAAACTTGCTGCTCTGGTTGCAGCCTTCAAAGCTTCCATCCATTCCTGAGCTCTTTGAAGGGTTTCTGCACGGAGACGAAGCACATCTTGAGGAAAGATCACCTGAAAACAAGAGTCACAGTCATCCAGAATATCAGTTTGAATAGAGACGCATGCCTCAATATTGTAGCTCCACAGAGGGTCCTCATCAAGCCCACCAATCTGAAATGCCATGAGAAGAGACCCACTGAGTACAAAATGGAATGCTTTCCAGTTATTCTGGAGAGTCAATCTGTAAAGAATCCCTGATTTGACAATGCTTTGGTAATCCTTGATGTTTGGGGTCAAAGGTGTGAACTGGAAAAATTCCGCAGGTTCCTTCTGTAAGCCATGGTTTTGAGTGAGGCTGCTCTCAGCATTATCTAACTTCCATGAGTTCACCAAATCTCCTTTTGGCTTCAGAAATGATGGAACTGAAGAATGAACAGCTTGCCGAAGTTTTTGTCCCCAGTCCAAAGCTTCCCAAGGTGATTCTGCTTTGAGTTGCAGGTGCAAATTATTGAACAGGACTGCATCAACTACACTGGTTTCCACGTTGATGCTTTGGAAGTGCAAAAGCAGGTAGACTGTTGGAAGGTTCTGGTTGCCGCTTTTGTCAAGCTGATACAGACAAAGTTCATATGGAGAGAGTTCTGCATAACAAGCCTGCCAGTAATTGCCATGGTTGTTCTTAATTTCTACATACCCTTTCTTCAAGATATTTGAATATGTAGGCTTGTGTTCTAGAAAAGAGTTTGAACAAAGGTAATTATAAATGCTTTAAAACATCTCTATAATGCTTAAGTTGACCAGTAACAGTTAGTCATTACTGTTTTAGGAAATCATAGTGGCTGGGCATCTTTAATAAACTGAGGTTGATTAGGTTCACTACAATTCTCCTCTTCACAAAGACAATTTAGAGCTATAAACTTACATCTTGATAACATTTTACTTGGATTATAAGGCTGTTCTTACAAAGGATCTTGAAACAGCTGATCCAAAATAGGCAGCAAGGTATGTTAATAGGAGCTGGCAGAAATTACCATATTATGCCTATTCTTTTCTATCTGTTCTGGCTTCCAGGCCATTACTGGACCCAATTCAAAATGCTATTAAACTTGACAACCCTAAATGACTCAAAACAGCTTATTTGTTTGACTTCCTTTTCTCATAAGTACCTTTAAGACAGGGGTGTCACACTCACATCGTCACGGCAGTAGCATGTGATGTTGATGTATTGGGACTTTTCCACCCTTCGCTAAAACCAGGCATAGGCGTGGCGCATCCGGCCTGTGGGCCAGGAGTTTAGCAGGCCTGCTTTAAGATCACCTCCAGAGCCACTTCTCAGACTACCTCCCTCCCTCCCTCCCTCCCTCTTCCATATTTTTAAGAGTATTGTTACTGTGTGTGTGTGTGTGTGTGTGTGTGTGTGTGTGTGTATACACACAAACATACATAAACAAACAAAATGAAAGAATACAAAAAATACTCTAAAATGTCCAAGGAACTAATTTAGTGGGTGGTATATAATAATAGAAACATGTTTCTGCAATTACTAGGCAAAAGAATATTTTTTATTATTCTAATATTTTCATATATTATTTACACTGAAAGGTATATGAATATTCTCATAGAATGTATACAAGTTCAATAGGAAGGTGAGCCTTTTTAGACAAAGCATTTAAGATAGGAAGACAGATTCTGATCAACAAGAACAATACATTCCTAACTGTAACAGCAGCAGTTTGATGATGGAAGCAAACAGCCAAAGGATGGTGAGCTCCCCTTCAATGGATGTACTCAAAGGAGACTAAAAGCCATTTGCCCAGAAAGCTTTCATTTAGATTTCTGAACTGAATGGTGGGTTGGATAATAGCCTGAAGCATGAGAAGGATGAGAAGCGAAATACCTGCAAAGAAAAACAAAGAAGTCCCATTGTCTCTGGGAGAAAAGTCCCGTTACCTCTTGGTTTGGGATAACCATGACCTGGATGATTGAGAAGCTCCATAGACATGCAGGCTGGGGAATTCTGGGAGCTGAAATCCACACATCGTAAAGTTGCCAAAGGTGAAAAACATTGGCCTAAGGGGTACCATTCAGCTCTAGAATTTAATGAATCTCTCTATAGTTTTCAGAAATAGTTTTAATGCTGTGTCTGCATTTTCAACTTCTGCATTGTACTCCAACCTCTGGCACTGAATGTGATAGTTGTTCCAGTACATGGCACCATGATATGTTTCTCCTTTTATGATGAACTAAGCAAGTAATAAAAGACTGCTCTGCCAACGTGTATTTTATCTTCTCTGAAAAACCCTAAGAGATTTTATTTAATTTGCAGGCAACAAAGAAACTAAATTCAATTTAAACTTGAAGAAAAGAGGTATTGATGAGCTCTCGGGTTTATTAGAATTTCTGTGTAAACTCAAAATCCATTAATTTTTTTGAGCCTCTTCTTTCCCCTCCCCTTCCCCACACTCTTTTGTAGTGGAGATAATGGGCACACATTCTACTGCCACCTTCCTTTTCTGTTAATCCAATAAGAGAAACAGCATGGCTACTGCAGATCGAACTACAACTCCATTCAGTTGTTCTCATTTCTATCAAGCACAGATGACACTTCAGGTTCTCCTGGTTTTCATGCCACATCCATCCCTGTTTTCCCCTCCTTACTTGCTTTAAACTGTCTCAGAGATTTGCTTGTCTTTTGTTAAGCTAGACAAAAGCCGCCCCCCCCCCCCCTCTCTCCTTCCTCTCATTCTCCCCACCCCCCCAATCTCCTACAGCCAGTCATTCTTTCTACTAACTGTCTCTAAAGCTAGTGTGAACTAGCTTCCCACTTCAACAGAAATAATAGTGAGGAATGACTTGATTAACATGCATATCCAACACACTCTTTGGAACAGCAGTTGCTGCCACAAACTGGCCAGATCACAGCTCCCTGACCATTGCCTTCCATCAACCATCTCCTGTTCCACCTCATCTGTCTTATGCACCAAAGCTACATAATACCTTTCCACAGAGTACTTTCTCTCCAGCTTCTAAAAGGGAAAGAAAATTTCTCTTTACTTTCACCAAACAAGGAAATTCAATTGAAGCAGAGCAAATCAGAGCCCATCAAAGTAAATAGGAGATAATCACATTAAATTGCCCACATCTGGGCTATTTTTTCTGAACTGTAATTCTAGAGAAATAAATCCCAAAGAAGGAAACATCAGAGAAAAGAGTAAGGTAAGAATTTTCTCTCTACAGATTACATCCCTTTTCTTTATTATGTCTCATTACAATTTTTGTAATGTATGTTATATATCTGAAATGGACACTGAGAATAGCTAACATCTCTCTCTCTCTTTGTTTTCTAACAACCTCTCCAGGTAATAGAAGCAAAGATCACACTGTAAGCAAAACATGGGTTGCATTTCTCATGGTCCACACTCTTGGTAGTGTTATTGTCTGCATATGATAGAGGAATTTATTAAATCACTCCAAAGGCCCATCTAATTTACTTCATTAAATCACTCCAAAGATCCATCTAATTTAGCAATCTTTACAGCTGTTACTAGTTAGTCGTTTCCAGAATGAAGAAGCAAGAAAACAATAATACTTCCTCATTCATCACATATTTAGAGGTACAATGTCTCTAAACATGGGGTTTTTATTTAGATATTAGGACCAAATGGCATTAACGACATTTAGTTAAATAAAAGGCATTCATTCCCCCAGAGTCCTCATCCATATCCATTTAGTAGCCAAAGATATTGGCTAACTTGGGTGTTAGAGAAACAGTTGAGAAGACCTTTAAATAAAGGAACTCCCCTCACACACAGTAATTTTAAAGGAAATTTTGTGTCATATAATGATAGAAAAATTAGGACTGAGGCATCAAATATATCTACTGTAGAATGAGCATGCATAGGCAGCATTTTTTTTATTCAAGGCATTAGTGAACCATTTGAGAGGTTTCTTGACTCATTGCTCCCTCAGTTTAATACTGCTGAGCTTTTACTACCAGGAATTTGCTACAATAGCAAGAATTTCCAAACAGCAACAAGACAGAAAGTTTGGAAGCAAGCATAAAGCAAACATCTCAGAATGTTAACTATTTGGCCACGGAAGAAATTGAGAGTGAAAATAGCAACAAACAAAAACAATCCAGCTGTTTTCTATTTTGCTTTTAGATGCTTTGCAGAGTGAGGTGGGAAGCATATAAATTTAATAAATAAAATCATTCAATGAAAAATAATTTTCATATGTCACAAAGTATATACATGAACTAGGATACCCTACAGAAGTGGTGTCTGCATTTTTATTGGACTGAGTATGAAAGCTTTGCACAATATCTACTATCATTATAGTATAAGATTTTGACAAGGAGTTTTCCTTTCTCTCTCTCAGCATATCCTTCAATATTAATTTGTATCCCAAAATCAAAAAGGAGAAAAAAATAGATGGAAAAGAAAAAACCAGTCCAGTTTCAAAATATAAGATCATGTATAGAAAATCCAGCAATGAGAAAAAAACATTACTTTGACATTCCTGTTTAAAATCGCCGCTTAATCACTTCTGTCAAAACCTTTAGATTCTTTCTTTTCCTTAGGGTGTCCTTTCAGATCTTAGAATAAAGAAAAAGTTCTCACCAAACCGGCACACTGTCTCTTTCTGTTCTCTTTCGTTTCAGAGCTGTCCCAACTTCAGCAGCTTTAATGGCTGCCTCTTTGCCATTGGCAAGAAGAGCTTCTCCTGGATCTACCAGGGACTTTGCGGTATCCCTGGGATCGACAGGATGCGCTCTTCACTTTCACCGTCTCTTTGGGACGGTTTAGATCCAATAGGACCATCCAGGAGCAAAGATATTGGCAGTGATCTCAGACCTCCAAGATCGCATGCTGTATCGTCGCGACGCCAGCTCTGCCCACTTTAGGATAGAGACTCCCTTTTAGTTATTTTTTTTTAATATCTTTTTCCTTTTTTTAATTAATTCTTATTATATTTTGCTTGGAAAAGGAGGGGGAAGTGAAAGCAAAGAAACTTTGTAACACTGCCAACTAGAGGCTTGAAAATATTCTATTTCTCCTGTGACCAGACAAAGCTGAGAAAGAAAGAACTGAGACTTTTTTTCAAGGACATTGGGAAGAGCATGGGAGAGTATTATTGCAGGTGCTCTTCTGGGTTTCTATCAACAGCTGGAGTCCGGTGTTGAAACCTAGGGAAAAAAAAGGTGATAAGTTTTTGGAGAAGAGAGTTAGAATAAGAGCCTTGGATAATTAAACAAAGCGCAGTGTGCTCTTTTTACTTTTTCTAAGTTGTGCTATCCCTCCTCACCAGCTTTATTTTATTTCATTTTATCTTTTTTTTTTTTTGCAATAACTATTTGGATCTTTGGCTTTGTTGGAGCTTGTCTTTGTTTTTTTCTTTGGAAGTCCAATCTCTACGCTTGCTTTTTATTTTAAAGGGAAAGCTTTAGTATTAATGTTTCCTTTTTTTAAAGGGAATAGCCTTTTTTTCTCCTTTCCTGGTATTTTTGTTTTTTCATCTACCTTTTTGGTTTATTTTTATGCACTCTTTTCTATTTGAGACTTCTCATTGGATTAAGGTGTTGAAGAACCTGAAGAATTTTTCCTTTCCTTTCCTTTTCTTTTCTTTTTTCAAGCCTTTTTCTTCATCTAACTACTGATTGGATTAAGATACACAAGAACCTGAAGAAATTTTGTCCTCCCCCTTTTTTTCTTCTTCTTTTTTTATCATT